GAATACTCACACTCGTAATGACGACAATAATGTGAAGCTGGTGCGAATAATTATACATGAACTCGTAGACATAAAATCAATACTGCGTATAAGCAGACGGGCCGTAGTTATACGGATAGCAGTAGTACGACGCATACTAATCAACATACTCATAATACTAATAGTACGACTGCCGGTGAACAGACAACTGATATGAACAATAACAGCAATAATGCACATACTAAGAATAACCATCGTACTCATACTGGTAATCGTAATCTTAATATAATCAGGACGAAGAAATACAAAACATCGCATCCACGAGCACCCTCGAGGAGACAGCCTCCGCGATCGTCCTCATGAATGGGACCGCCGTGGAAGCGCTGCACGAATACCCTGCTCACGACCATCTCCAGGGAACGCTTCGCGCGGACGAGCACGTCAAGGAGCAGGAGCAGGGCGACCCTGTCATCATAATACCCCATCTGCATAATAATCATGCAGGCGAGACTGCGCGGCAAGGAGCCACGAGGATTACCACGCAACGATGCTGGACCCGCGTTGAACGTCGCGTCGCGGGCGGCGGCAAGGGGCCTGCCGTTCTCCTTACCCAATCTGGCCCGACGGGAAAGTGGTCGTGTCCCTGACGACTGCGGCACCATCGTGAACACCATGAAGTGGAGAGTCTCCGCGTACGGCCGACTGTTAGCGAGGCGCCAATCCAGAAGAGGTGGCTTCTCCACCCACTAGCATGGCAACCAACCGTGCGATGCACCTCGTGGAAGAAAGGGCCACGAAAGAGGAAAGGGTTATGGGTGAACCACACCTTGACAGTTGCATAGTGCTGCCAGTACCCCAAGGTGGAAACCGATGATTATCCGTGGCGTACTGCAGCAATCTATGAGACCGGGAGAACCAGCACGTTTTTAGGCTCTGGCGGGGAGCCGCAACCGCGCGGTGCAACCGCAACGGTGGCCCGATGGTCCGCACACCCTGCTGTGTCTGCGCCCGCACGCCGTTGCGCGGCTGCAACGACCATCGGTCACCAGAGAGCGACTCGTACCAGGCAGTACGGACCAAAGGGGTGGACGAAGCCTGGCGACTACAGAGATGATGGCGACGATGATGATGGTGGTGATGGTGGTGATGGTGATGATGATGGTAACGATACTGATGATGATGATGCTGATGATGATGATGATGATGATGATGGTGGTGGTGATGATGATGCTGATGATGACGATGATGATGATGGTGATGTTGTTGCTGATGAAAATGATGTTTTTGATGATGATGACAATCATGCTGCTGCTGATGATGATGATGATGATGACGATGATGCTCCTGATGATGCTGCTGATGCTGATTCTGATGCTGATGCTGATGTTAGCTGATGATGATGCTGATGATGCTGATGATGATGATGCTGACGATGATGATGATGATGGTGATGAGGATGATGATGGTGGTGGTGGTGATGATGATGTTGTTGATGGTGATGATGATGATGTCGATGCTACTGCTGATTCTGATGCTGCAGATGATGGTGGTGGTGATGATGATACTGGTTACGATACTGATTATTATGATGTCGATGCTGATGCTACTGATGATGCTGATGCTGATGCTGATGATGATGATGATGCTGATGATGATGATGATGATAACGATGATGATGATGATGATGATGATGATGATGATGATGATGATGATGATGATGATGATGATGATGATGATGATGATGATGATGATGATGATGATGCTGATGCTGATGCTGATGCTGATGATGATGCTGATGATGATGCTGATGCTGATGCTGATGCTGATGCTGCTGATGATGATGATGATGGTGGTGGTGGTGATGATGATGATGATGATGATTCTGATTCTGATGATGATGCTGATGCTGATGATGATCCTCTGTTCCCCTCGTCCGCCTCGCTCTTTTCCCTTGCCCAGGGAGACACGCTGCAGTTTGACCTTGAGCCCAGCCCTTCGAAGCCGGGCCAGATGCAGGCCAAAAACGTGACCGGGGGCACAGGCCTCGGGCGAAGGAGGGAAGGAGGAGGAGGGAAGGAGGAGGAGGGAAGGAGGAGGAGGAGGAGGAGGAGGAGGAGGAGGAGGAGGAGGAGGAGGAGGAGATGGAGAAGGAGGGCAACGTCTGACATACCTTTGTGCCTGCAGGATTCCAGCATTACGGAGGAGGAGGGCCAGGAGGAGGAGGAGGAGGGAAAGGAAAACGAGGAGGAGGAGGAGGACGAGGAGGGGAGTGTGGTCGATGAGGGAGGGAGGGGACCTATGGAGGGAGGAGGAATGAGGGGATGAGTGCTGAGGAGGGACAGTGATGATAACGCTGCTTCTTGTAGATGGTGCTAATGGTGATGATAACGATGATGATGGTGATGGTTGTATTGGTGGTGGTGACGAAAACGATTATGGTTATGATGACGCTGTTGATGACGATTGCGATGCTGAGGATGCAGCTGTTGCTGCTTCTGATCGTGGCGAGTACGAGGACTACAACGACGATTATGATACTATGGTGATGCTGATGCTGATGATGTTGCTGATTATGATGCTGATGCTGATGCTGATGACGACGACGACTATTATGATGATGATAATGGTGTTGATGATGGTCATACTGATGCTGGCGATGATGCTGCTGATGATGCTGATGATTATGATGATGATGCTGATTATCATGCTGACAACGACGATTCTGATGACGATGCTGCTGCTGCTGATGATGATGTTGCTGATGCTGATGCTGATGCTGATGACGACGACGACTATGATGATGATCATCACCATCATGCTGACGATGATGAAGATGACGATGACGATGATAATGATGATGACGATGTCGATGTTGATGATGCTGATGATGATGATGGTGACGATGATGATGAGGATGGCGCTGCTGATGATGCTGATGATGCTGACGATGATGCTAATGATGATGCTGATGATGATGCCGATGCTGCTGCTGCTAATGATGGTGCTGCTGATGATGATGATGATGATGATGATGATGATGACTATGTCGATGTTGACAATGCTAGTGCTGCTGAGGATGATGGGATAATGATGTTGATGATGATTATGATGATGCTGATGATGCTGATACTGCTGATGATGATAATTACGATGTTGTTGACGATGCTGCTTACGCTGATGTTGATGATGCTGATGATGCTGATGCTGATGATGATGATGATGACGATCATGCTGATGCTGGTGATGATGATGATGAATCATGAGGACGGCGATGATGATGCTGATGCTGCTGATGATTATGCTGATGCTGATGATGTTGATGATTCTGATGATGATGCTGATTATCATACTGGCAATGATGATTCTGATGATGATGCTGATGCTGATGTTGATGATGATGATGATGATGATGATGATGATGCTGATGATGATGATGATGATGATGATGATGATGATGCGGACGATGATGCTGCGGCTGATGATGCTGATGCTGATGCTGATGATGATGCTGATGATGAGTGTGCTGCTGATGCTGCTGATTATGATGATGCTGCTGATGATGATGATGCTGATGATTATGAGGATCAGCATACTGAGGCTGACGGTGATGATTAGGATGCTGGTGATGATGATGCTGATGATGATGATGATGATGATGATGATGATGATGATGATGCGGATGCTGTTGCTGATGACGACGATGATTATGATGATGCTGCTTTTTCGGATGATGATGATGTGGATGGTCGATGATGGTGATGATGGTGATGATGACGATGATGATGCTGATGCTGCTGCTGGTGATTATGGTTATTATGCGGATGTTGATGATGCTGATACTCTTGATGATGATGATGAAGATGATTCTGATTCTGATTCTGATGATGATGATGATGATGATGCCGCTGTTGATGATGATGATGATGATGCAGTTGATGATGCTGATGCTGCTGATGGTGATGATCATGGTGGTGGTGGTGGCGATGATGGCGATGATGGCGATGATGATGATGATGATGATGATGATGATGATGATGATGATGATGATGATTATGATGATGATCATGATGGTGGTGGTGGTGGTGGCGATGACGATGGGGTGGTGGCGATGCTGCTGCTGCTGCTGCTTGTGCTGCTGCTGCTGCTGCTGCTGCTGATGATGATGATGATGATGATGATGATGATGATGATGATGATCGTGGTGGTGGTGGTGGTGGCGGTAGTGTTGGTGGTGGTGGTGAAGGAGGAGGACGAGGAGGAGGAGGAGCATGAGGAGGAGGAGGAGGAGGTGGAGGAGGGTGCGGAAGGAGGAGGGAGGTCTGGGAGGAGGAGGAGAAGGATGAGGGGGTGGAGGAGGAAGAAGGTCATTTGGTAGGAGGACGGTGCAGGCGAAATGTGTGCAGGCGTGAGAGAAGAGGGGTTGGGGGAGAAGAAAGTGGAGGAATGATGATGGAGGATGTGGTACCCTCTTCTGCCTCACCTTTCCTTCCCTCTCGCTTTTCGCCTCTTTCCTTTCTCGGGTGAAGTGGTGGGCGGGGGTGTATGGAACGTACCGCCACGAAGCAACTGGCTCCTCAGGAACACGGGTCCTGAGAGTTTTCGCCGTTCTTGGGTTCTGGGCCCTCCACGGCCCACGGGACTGTCAGAAAACGACTCAGCACGAAATGCTGGCCCTGGGGGAAGGGCCCCGTTCTGGGACCCCATTTCTTCACTCAGGACCCGTTCGTTTCATGACAAGTACATGGAGAAGCCACGCTGGTACGTGGATGGAGGAGGGTGGGGGGGAAGCAGAAGGAAGAAGAGTGGGGGAGGGGGAGGGGGACTTAGCGAAGAGGGGTGGGAACCCCTCCTCTTCATCCTTGCCCCTCCCCTCCCTCCCTTCCTCCCTTCTGGTAGGTTTGAGCAGGCGCTCAGGGAGTCCATCAGAGGATAGGCCCCTTCCTCATGTCTTCCTCTTACCCTTTCTCCTTTCTCCGCCCCATCTTCCTCCTCAGCCCTTCCCCTCCCTCTACCCTCCCTTCCCCCTCCCGTACCTTCCCCTCCCTCCCCCCCCTCCCCCTCCACGTGCCTCTTCTACTCCCCAGCCTTCTCCTCCCCGTCTGTCCTCCTCTGTTCCCCAGTCCCGCTCCGCCCGATGACCCTCCGCCTCCCCCGCCTCCTAGAACATGCTCTTCCCCCTCCTCCTCCATCATTCCTTCTCCTTACAAATAACTTCTCCCTGTCGCACCCCGAAGCCATTTTTTTGGGCGGGCCAGGATTTTTGCTTGAGACTTCCTTACCATTCATGACCCTGAAGCTTAAACATCGGCGACAATTTCACAGATGGAGGGCGGGTCGTTTTCAAAATGTGGCTCTCGCCTCAGCGCCACGCACATTCGGTTTCACAATTTGCAAGAATTTCACGGATCGAGGGCGGGTCGTTTTCAAAATGTGGTCGTTTTCAAAATGTGACTCGCCGTAGCGCCGCGCACATTCGCTTTCAACATTGGCAAGAGTTTCGCGGATTGAGAGCCGGTCGTTTTCAAAATGTGGTTCTCGCTTTAGCGCTTCGGACATTCTTTTTCACAATTTGCAAGAGTTTCACAGATTGAAGGCGGGTCGTTTTCAAAATGTGGCTCTCGCCTTAGCGCCGCGCACGTTCTTGTTAAACAACTACAAGAGTGTCACGGATTCCCATGATTGACGTACCAGAAAAATGTTGTTTTGGAAGGATTCACGATTTTGAGGACGCAACAGTTACGATGATTCGCGGAGTTGAGGTCCCAACAGTCAGGTTCATTCGTGGCGTTGGAATACCGAGAATCATGTTTTTGGCATGCTTCAGGGTCTTCAAACGGATGTCTTCCACCGAGGCAGGTTCCCTGTGGAGATGAACCGTTGTATGGGCCTGTGAAGAGGGAGCTTGGGGGAGGGTTGATTCCAACATCATTGATGACTCTTGGGTTCGCACTGGTCCTCCTCCTCCTCCTCCTCCTCCTTCTCCTCCTCCCCCCTTTGGTCCTCCTCCTCCTCCTCCTCCTCCTCCTCCTCCTCCTTCCCTCCTCCTCCTGCTCCTCCTCCTCCTCCTCCGCTTCCTCCTCCCTCCTCCTCCTCCTCCTCCTCCTCCTCCTCCTCCTCCTCCTCCTCCTCCCCCTTCTCCTCCTCCTCCTCCTTCTCTTGCTCCTCCTCCTCTTCCTCCTCCGTTTCCTCCCCCTCCTCTTTCTCCTGCTCCTCCCCCTCCTCCCTTTTCCTCCTCCTCCTCCTCCTCGTCCTCCAGGTGGCCGTCCAGTGCTCTGCGCGACGGTTCCCAGCAGCGTCTTATCCTCCTCGTCCTCCCCACCTGGGCAGGCTGGGGCGCCTTCGGCAAGGGCGGCGGCTGGGGCAAGGGCGGCAAGGGCGGCCCGTATGATGGGCCCGCGCCCCGGGCCCCAGACGCCGAAGCCCAGCCGTGGGAGACGGCGCAGACGGAGACGACGGAGACGATCTAGGCCTTCCAGATAGGGTCTGAGCATACAGTCAACCCGCACAGCAAGGATGAGCGACTTCCCAAGGGTACCCTTGCATCCTTGCCTCTTCGGTCATCTTCGGCCCATCCTCAACCACTTCCAAAGGCCAGCCCCGCTCGAAGAGCCTCGGCAGGGGCGTCCAAGGCCCTTGCATCCTTACCGCACATCCTTACGGTACGGGTTGACTGTAGGCCTTCCAGACGGGGTCGGAGCATATGGGGGTCGGAGCAGAGCGCGCCGCGACGCCGATGCACTGGCGACGCGATTCGATGTGGAGCCCGCTTGGCCGACCCGTCGCTGATGCATCGCTGATGCATCGCTGATGCAGCGTTAATGCATCGTTGATAGCATCGGCGATGCGGCCGGATTTCCCCGACTCCATCTACCACCACCCACCAAACCACCCCAACCCAACCCGAAGCCCTCAATTTGCCCTCCATTTCCAGTGTGGGGGGGTCGGGGAACGTTGAAAAAACACATGGAACCCGTACCCCCCCCAACCCGAAATTGGGGTCAAATTCGGGGTCTTCGGGTTGGGTTGGGGTGGTCTGGTAGGTTGTCAATCTACCCCGACCCCATCTGGGAGGCCTGTGGGGACGAAGAAGACGAGCATAAATACAGCAGCGGAGGAGAATTTGTTGGTGCCGCCGCCAGTCCCTTGTCGCCACGGCCGGATTTTCGCCTCGAATAACTCTGGTCAGGATACACCCAGGAGGGGAAACAACACACAGACACAATTAATCGTCGACTCCCAGGAAAATATGGGAAAATATGGGAAGCGGGGGGGAAGACAAAAAACCAGAAACTATGGGAAAATATGGGGAATCTTTTTATTTGTGTGTATTTATTTGTGTGTCCCAGGGCCCCTTCATACACCCAGGAGAGGTTTGGTGAGTTGCGGTATCGGCATCTTTTCTTTCGCCCCGTGCATGGACACTAGAACTGGCCAGGGACGGCCGTGTCCGGCCGAGGTGGACGATGCATACGAAGACAACGAAGCCTGAGATCGGGGCTTCTCTTGCTACAACGGGCGCTGTTGTATCTTGTCGGGCCCAGGACCCTCACATGGATCTGGCTCTCAAAGGGCCGCAGGAAGATGGGGTCTAGGGTTCTGGTCGTGAGCTTTATCGATGTTGCCATGTTTTAACGTCGGATCTCAGAGGACGACACTGAAGACGAGCATAGTACAGAGAAGCTGAACACTAGTGGCCAGTGACGGCCCTCCTCGCCCTCATGTTTTCCTTCCTGGTGGAGCCGATACGTTTCTGTGGACACTTCTTACCGTCCTGGATGTCTGACATTATTGGGGTGGATCACCCAGGCATGCATCAGTCGATTACTTGCCTTGAAAGGACGGCAAAAGTGGCCAGTGACGGCCCTTCCTTTCTTTCCACAAACCTGGCCAGCTTACCCTTCGGTTTTTCTCCAGCCTTGGCGACCTCATCCCAACTGTCTCGGGCTTGTTTCTGCCCGTCGCCAGTCTTTTCAGTCCCGACAGCTTCCACTTTCATGGATTTGCGCAATTCACTTTTTCCAGCCTCCCTGTGGTAAGGCTAACACCGTAATTGCAGTAGCTTGTCGCCGCGTTGGTGCAGCGGCGACGCCATCGCGGGCGTTCGAGGTTGAATTTCACCAGCTGCCTGAATTTGGCCAGAACGATTTCCGATACCAGATATCCGGATCGTTCAACGTTCAACGGTCCTCGCGGTGTCAGAGACCACTGCTGACCTCATCGCGACGAGAACCTGCCGCGCGCATGATACCAGCGCTTGGACTCCACATATATCCCGACGGTCAAAGAGGTCACACAGGCCAGGACCCTGAAGGGGGACTACGGACGCAAAGGGAGCAACAGCCAGCGCCAAGGGGAGCTCGGGCCATGGTCATGGGCTGTACCGTGTCTGCGGGGCTAAGGGCAACCGCCAGCCGACTCCTGCGACAACCCTAATGGCGAGGACCCTTGAGCGGGACCCGAGGGGCGGGTTACTCAGGGGAGCCAATTACCAGACCCCGAATTTCCCTTTCGGGCGGATGCCCATTGGCTGGGGACCGTTTTCGAACGGGACACCATGGGCACCACCCCCCGAGGCTACCCGAAGGGCGGGACTTTTTGGGTGGGATCTCATGGGCAACTGCCAGCGATCCCCCGCAGCCACCCCATGGACGGGCCCCGTGGGTTGGACCCCTCAGGCAAGGCACCTTTTAGGTGGGAAAGCACTGGCGGGACACTGGTGGTAAACCACCTGATGTGCAGGACGCCATGCGTAACGTAACAGCCCGATGAACTGGAACTTAATGGCAGAACTCATTGGGCAACCGCCAGCCAGCCCTTGCGATAACTCCCAAGGGCGGGGACACTTGAGCGGGACACTGTGGGCAACCACGCGCCCAGACCTGCAACCACCCATGTGCGGGGCATTGTGGGTTGGATCCTGAGGGCGGGACCGCTACGGACGCATACCAGCACCCTGGCCCAATCTTTTTCGATTCGAGTGAGAGCACATGTTTCCCCACATTTTAGATGGACTTTTGTTTTCTCTATAACCACCGCGCAGGAATGATACTCCTCACCTCCCCCTCTCCCCCTCTTCTCTTCACACATTCATCAGCATCACCATCACCATCACCATCACCGTCATCATCGACATCATCATCATCATCATCATCAGCATCAGCGTCATCATCATCATCATCATCATCATCATCATCACCATCGCCACATTCATCTCATCACCATCGCCATCATCATCGTCACTCTCACTATCCCAGCATGAACATCGACCTTCATCATCAACACCACTACGATCATTGGCATCACCATCATCATCACCACTATTCCCATCCTCATCATCAGCAGCATCGGCATCATCATCAACACAATCACCATCAGCATTACCATCCGCATCACCACCACCATCATCACTATCACCCTGACCATCATCATCATCACCATCGTTAACATCATTATCGCCATCACGTCCATCGTCATCAGCATCATGATCATTACCAGCATCATCATCATCATTCTCATCATTCTTATCTTTATCATCATTATCATCATCAACAGCATCATGATCATCATCATCATCCTCATCCTCATCACCACCACCATCTTCATCATCGTCATCATCGTCACCAGCATCAGCATCATCATCGTCATCATCACCGTCGTCATCACCACCAATCATCATCATCGTCATCATCATTGTCATCATGACCACCACCATCACCATCATCATCATCGTCATCATCATGTTCATCCTCATCATCATCATCATCATCATCATCATCATCATCATTATCGTCATCATTAACATCACCATCACCATCACCATCACCATCACCATCACCATCACCATCACCATCACCATCACCACCATTATCATCGTCGTCATTATCGTCACCACCGCCATCGTCACGACAATCATCACCATCACCATCACCATCACCATCACCATCACCATCACCATCACCATCACCATCACCATCACCATCACCATCACCATCACCATCACCATCACCATCACCATCACCATCACCATCACCATCACCATCACCATCACCATCACCATCATCACCATCACCCTCACTATCGTCATCATCATCACCGTCATCATCGTTATCATTATTATCATCATTATCATCATTATGATCATCATCACCATCGCCATCATCATCGTCGCACTCGGTCACACACGCAAACACGCACGCTTTCATCTTGGGGACGTCTCGAGCGTGAGCCTCGTCTGTGAGTGAGATGCGAGGAGGTCTCGGGTCTCGAGCGGAACTCCCCTTCTCTGTGGGGCCCACACTTCATGTTATCAGTCCGAGGCGACCAGCGGAATCCCGACGGCTTCGCGATCTGGCCATCGGAGACCGCGCCATTGCCGGCCGATGCGGCGACGGCGCCAAGGAACATCGCCGCGCGCGCCCTTTCAAGAGGGACGGGGGAGGAGGTGGATTTGGGAGAAGAGGCAGGAGGGCGACGAGGAGGAGGAGGAGGAGGAGGCAGGGCAGGTGGCTGGAGCAGGAGCCCCCTCCCCCTCCTGTCCTCCCTACGGGGCCCACACTTGATGTCAGCAATCGGCGGCACCCGGGGCGGTCATTCTGGTTCGTTGATCTGTCGTCACCCTCGGGCTCCCGGTGCCTGCGTCCCCGAGCACGGCTCGAGCAGGAGCCGCGTCCGTGAGCGAGGCGCGAGGCAGTCTCGAGCAGGAGGCCTCTTCGCTACAGGGCAGGCGGTCATCCTGAGAGCTGTAACTGTCGTCGCGTTTGGACTCCTGATGCTTGCATCTTGAGGACGGCTCGAGCGGGAGCCTCGCCTGTCAGCGAGACGCGAGTGAAGCTCGAGCGGGATCCCCCTCCCTATGGGGCCTGCGCCCCGCGTCAGTGACCTTGGGCGGTCAGCCTCAGAGGTGCAGCCGTTGTTTTTTGGTTGTTGGGCTGCCGATGCTTGGGTCTTGGGGAAGTCTCTAGCGGGAGCCTCGTCTGTCAGTGAGTCGCTTGGAAGTCTCGAGGAGGAGATTCATGTTCCTCCACAGCGTCCTCCACCTCCTGTTCCCCCTCATTGTCCTCCTCCCAGCCCCTGGCCTTCCAACTAGTCCTCGCCCTGGTCTTCATCTTTTGCGTCCTCCTCGTCGTCCGTCGTCGTCGTCATCGTCGTCGTCGCCGTCGTCGTCGTCGTCGTCGTCATGCGCGCGGAGCGCGGACGCTGTGGTGGCGCCAGAACCGCACGGCGGGGGGGAAGCGTTACGTTTTGCCCCCCCCCCCCCCCCCCCCCCCCTCTATAACGCCCATCATCGCCGCGAAAGAGAAACGCGCTCATGATGATGATGATGATGATGATGATGATGATGATGATGATGATGATGATGATGATGCTGATGCTGATGCTGATGCTGATGCTGATGCTGCTGATGATAATCATGCTGATGATGATGTTGATGAGGATGATGATTTTGATGATGATGATGATGATGATGATGATGATGATGATGATGATGATGATGATGATGATGATGATGATGATGATGAAGAATTTGATTTTGATGATGATGCTGATAGTCCTCACCCTGGTTTTCATCTTTTGCGTCCTCCTCGTCGTCCGTCGTCGTTGTCATCGTCATCGTCGTCGCCGTCGCCGTCGTCATCGTCGTTGTCATCTTCCTCCTCCTCCTCCTGCTCTTCCTCCTCCTCCTCCCTGTTCTCCGCCTACTCCTCCTCCTCTGGCACGCTCCCTTCCCCCTTCCGATCCTGCTCGCGCCCTGCGCCCGAGCCGAGTGCTGCTGCTCTGAGCCGCACAAGCGGAAACCGCTCCTCCCTATGGGGCCCACATTTTATGTTAGTAATCGGGGGCGGTCGTCGTAAAACCTGTGGCTGTCATCTTTTGTGGGTTCTTGATGCCTGAAACTTGAGGAAGTGTGTAGCGGCAGCCTCGTTCGTGAATGAGATGCGAGGAATGTAATCCCAGACGGCCATTGGAAAACTTGCAATTGTCGTCGCTTTTGGGCTTCCGAGGTTTGAAGTCTTGAACAGGAGCCTCGTCTGTGAGTGAGACGCGAGGAGGTCTCGAGCGGAACTCCCCTTCCCTTTGGGGCCCACGCTTCATGTTATCAGTCCGAGGCGACCCGCGGAATCCCGACGGCTTCGCGATCTGGCCATCGGAGACCGCGCCATTGCCGGCCGATGCGGCGACGGCGCCAAGGAAAATCGACGTTCGCGCCCTTGCAAGATCGACGGGAGAGCAGGCGGATGGGCGAGAAGAGGCAGGAGGACGAGGAGGAGGAGGCAGAGCATGTGGCGGGAGGGAGGGTTCTGCCAGGGCGGAAGGCAAAAGGGCGATGAGGAGACAGGAAGAGAGCTTCCGCAATCGCAGAGGATTACTTTCAGGCTAGTTTGGTGGATTCTCGTGCGGGGTCCTGCCGCCGGAGCAGTTTTAGTTGCGTCCCCCGCCCGGTTCTTGACGGCAGGCCTAACTTGCGTGTCGCGCGAACGCCTGGCTTCGCCCCCTTTCTCCGCCCCGCTCCGGTTCGGAGT